ACTTGGTCCCCCTTGGAACACCCCAGGACCCCCTTCCCTTTCCCCCTAACCCACTCCATGATCCCCATCCCCCCCATACTCCTTCTCTTCCCCCCAGACCCCCAAGGAGCCCCTGACTCCTTTTCCCCCCACAGGCCTCCCACGACAAGGCAGCGGCCAAGACGGTAGGAATCAAATTTCGGGGGGCCCGGGGGGTGTTAGTGGCCCTCCGTGCCCTCATGGTGGTCCTCTGGCAGCACCCGGAATTGGCAGCGCTGCGGGAGCAGGGCCGGAGCCTCCGGGGGCAGCTCCGGGTGCTCGAGGCTGAAGAGTCTGACCTGGAGCAGAGATTTTACCTGGCGGCCCTGCAGCTGCCTAACAGAACCCACCCCGCAGTGGTGAGACCCCAAAAACCTCCCCAAAATCACCAAAAACCCAACAGAACCCACCTGGCTGTGGTGAGACCCCAAAAACCTCACCAAAACCCAACAGAGCCCACCCCACAGTGATGAAACCCCAAAAATCCCCCTGAAACCTCCCCCTTGACCCCCCCCCGGCCTGCGGAGTTTTGGGGGGGTTTCTGATGCCCCCAAACTCCCCCTTGTGCCCCCCCAGCCCGTTGGGGACCAGAGTCAGGCCCGGCTGCTCGAGGTGGTTGGTGAGAAACCAGGTGAGGGGTTTTGGGGGGTCCTGGGGATGGTTTTTGTTGTGGGGGGAGGAGGAGAAGGGTCCCTGGAGGGGGAAAGGGTCTGGGGGGCATTTGGAGGGTCTGGGGGGGTGGGTTTGGAGGGCCTGGGGTGACAAAGGTGACGGAGGTTCCCCCTTCCTGTCCCCAGTGTTTGATTTCAAGCCAAAGGGACACCTGGAGCTGGGGGAGGGCTTGGACATCATCCGGCAAAGGTGAGCGGCACCTGGAGGGGGGACACCCCCGTCCCACCTGTGTCCCATGGTCACATTACCTGTGCGGGATGGGGGGCGTCCCCAGGTGTGCCACCCCTGTCCCAGGTGTCAGGCCATTGCTCGCATTACCTGTGCGGGGTGGGGGGCGTCCCCAGGTGTGCCACCCCTGTCCCACCCATGTCCCATCCCTGTCCCACCCCTGTCCCACCCGTGCAGGCGCCTGTCCCACGTCTCGGGCCATCGCTCCTATTACCTGAGCGGGGCTGGGGCCCTGCTGCAGCACGCCCTTGTCACCTTCACCTTGCGGAAGCTGCTCAGCAAGGTAGGGGGGGGACCTGGGGGTGTCCAGGGAGGGTCTGGGGGGTCCAGGGAGGGTCTGGGAGGGTCTGGGGGGTCCAGGGAGGGTCTGGGATGGACTGGGGGATCCAGGGAGGGTCTGGAGGGGTCCAGGGAGGCTCTGGGGGTCTCCAGGGAGGGTCTGGGATGGTCTGGAGGGATCCAGGGAGGGTCTGGGATGGTCTGGGGGTCCCCAGGGAGGGTATGGGGGTCTCCAGGGAGTGTCTGGAATGGTCTGGGGGGATCCAGGAAGGCTCTGAGATGGTCTGGGGGGATCCAGGGAGGGTCTGGGGATCCCCAGGGAGGGTCTGGGATGGTCTGGGGGGATCCAGAGAGGGTCTGGGGGGATCCAGGGAGGGTCTGGGATGGTCTGGGGGGATCCAGGGAGGGTCTGGGATGGTCTGGGGGTCCCCAGGGAGGGTCTGGGGGTCTCCAGGGAGTGTCTGGAATGGTCTGGGGGGATCCAGGAAGGCTCTGAGATGGTCTGGGGGGATCCAGGGAGGGTCTGGGGGGATCCAGAGAGGGTCTGGGGGGATCCAGGGAGGGGCTGGGATGGTCTGGGGGTCTCCAGGGAGGTTTGGGCGTCTCCAGGGAGGTTTGGGGGTCACCCGGGGGGGGTCAGAGTCTCACGATCTCCCTTTTTCCCAGGGTTTCCTGCCCATGACGGTGCCAGACCTGCTGCGTGGAGCCATTTTTGTGAGTGACCCCCGAGCCCCATGAGGACCCCCCCTGGCACCTCTGCGGTCCCAGGTGACCCCCTGTGCCCCCCAGGAGGGCTGTGGGGTCCAGCCCAGCGCTACCCCCTCCCAAGTTTACACCATCGACCCCGCGCGCTTCGAGGACCTGTGCCTGGCCGGGACCTCGGAGGTGGGAATTGCAGGTGGGAAATGGGGGAAAATGGGGGGAAACTGGAAAAACCCAGGGGGAGAAATGGAGTGGGGGAGGACCAGGGGGAAAACGGAGGAAAATATGGGTGAAAATGGGGAGAACATTAGGAAAATCTTAAAAAAATAGGGAAAAAAAGACGGAAAAAGGAGAGAAGGAGGGGGGTCAGAGGATTTGAGGGTCATGCTGTGTCCCCCCCCCCATCCAGGGTATTTCATGGACCACGCAGTGCAGCTGCAGGACCTGCCTGTCAGGTATGGGGGGGTTGTGGACCCCCTCCCCTTCTGGGGGTCCCACCCCGATCCCCTGGGGGGGTCTGGGGTCTTTGGGGGCCCCCTGAGCCACGTCCCCCGCCAGGGTCGTGTGTTCCAGCACCTGCTACCGCACGGAGACCGACACGGGCCGCGAGCCCTGGGGGCTCTACCGCGTCCACCAGTTCACCAAGGTACTGGGAGCACTGGAAGAGCCCTGGGGAAGGAAGGGCGGGGAGCTCAGCCTGTGTGCCCCCCCAAAGGTGGAGATGTTCGGGGTGACGGCGGACGAGCGCGGGACGGAGAGCGAGGAGCTGCTGGACGAGTTCCTGGGGCTCCAGAAGGAGATTTTCTCGGAGCTGGGGCTCCATTACCGGTGAGGGGGATTTGGGATTTCGTGGGGGGGGGTCCCCCCAATCCGTGGGACTCTGAACTCCCTCCTAACTGTCCCCCCCGGGCCCCCCAGTGTCCTGGACATGCCCACGGAGGAGCTGGGGCTCCCCGCCTACCGCAAGTTTGACATCGAAGCCTGGATGCCTGGACGAGGCAAATTTGGGGAGGTGAGGTGGTTGTGGGGGTGGGTCTGGGACCCCAATAATGCAGGGAGAGCCCAAATAACTTGGGGAGAACCCTGATGATTTGGGGAGAGCCCCAATGATTTGGGGAGAATCCAAACAATTCTGGGAAAACCCCAAAAATTCAGAGGTGCCCAGGGTGATGCCCCCCCTCTTTATTCTCACCCTTGCTGCCGGATCAGGACCCTCATTTTGGGGGGTTCCTGGAGTGGAGGAGCGGGTGCCAAAAATCTCCTGACCCCTCTCCCCCCCCAGATTTCCAGCGCTTCCAACTGCACGGATTACCAGAGCCGGCGGCTGAACATCATGTACAGTGGGGAGGGGGGCCGGCTGAGCCACGCCCACACGGTGGGTGCCCCCTAAATGCCCCCCAAAACCTCTGGGGAGGGGTCTCCAGCCCCCCCTGACCTCGGGCCCCCCCTCAGGTGAACGGCACCGCCTGCGCTGTGCCCCGGCTGCTCATCGCACTCCTCGAGTGCAACCAGCTCCCGGTGAGTGTTTTTGGGGGGTCCCGCGGGGTCTGGGGGCTCTGGAGGTGGGGTTCACCCTGCCCCGTGTCCCCCCCACCCGCAGGACGGCCGTGTCCGCGTGCCCCCCGTGCTGCAGCCACTGGTGGGGCAGGAGGTGCTGGCCCGGCCCCCTGCACCCCTCCTGCGCTACATTGGCCCCAACCAGCCCGGAGGGGGCCCCCCAAAAACGGGGGCGGGGGGCCTGAGGAAAGGGGTCCCCGTGGAGGAGACGGACGGAGCCGGGATGTCGCAGGAGGGACGCAGGACACTGGACACGCGGTGACAAATCCCGGGAATAAAACATGGAAATCCTCCTTGGAACAGGTGTGGCCTCTGCTGCAGGGGTGCTCTGGGGACACGCAGGTGTCCCCCACTGTCACACCTGTCTGCTGTGCTCACACACACGTCCCCTCCATTGTCACACCTGTCTCCTTTCCTCCAGTGCCACAGGTGTGTCCTTTGCTCCGAGCGCAGCCTCTGATTTATTTCCCACCGCCCCCTGCAACCCTCGGGGCTCCCTGGGGATTTTGGGGGGTGGGGGCACATCCTCAGGGGGTCCCCCTGGCTGGGCGGTGGTGGGGGCATCCCCAAGTCCATCCAGAGGGGTCTGGGGTCCTCTCAGGCCGGGCAGCGCTTGCTGTTGATGACGATGTCGTCGTACTCGTCCTGGGGGGAGAGAGAGGTTTTGGGGGGGCTCGGAAGGGTTTGGGGGCCTTCCCGAGAGGCCCCCCCGGGGTTGGGAAATCTCTGGGGCCGGTGTGGCCACGGACTGACCGCGCTGTCCTCGGGGCCGCCCTCGCTGTCGCCGCTGCTGTCGCCGCTGCTGTCGCTGCTGTCGCTGCTCGGGGGGTCGCGGGCCCCGAAGCGGCGAAGGAGCGGGGGCAGGCGGGGCTCGGGGCGGCGGCGGGCGCTGTACAGGGGGGTGTACCCCGAAAACGTGCGGGGGTCCGGCCGTGCCCCGCCCCGCAGCAGGCACTCGGCCACCTCGGGGCTCTGAGCCTCCACAGCCAAGTGCAGGGGGCTGCGGCCACAGCTCGGCTCCTGGGGGAGCACGGCGGGGTCAGGGGGCGGCCAGGACCCCCACTCCCACCCCGTTTTTTGGTTATTTGTGGGGGGGTTTGTTTTTGGGAGCACCCACCGGCTGGTCGGGGTCGGCGCCGGCGCGGAGCAGGAGCTGCACCAGCTCCAGGTCCCGGCGCAGGACAGCGATGTGCAGGGGGGTGTAACCTGTGGATGGGGGTCCCCAAAGCACAGCCTGAGCACGTGGGAACCCCCTCCCAACATGCCCGCCAAACATCACGACCCTCCCCTAAACGCGTAAGTTCCGTAAATTCCAAACGCTGCGTCCCCATCCCCAAAATCACCGGAATTCCCCCCGCCTCAAAACCACGGCGAGCCCAACGCCACAGGACCCCCCCAAAATCCTCCCCAGCCCTGAAAACCGCGGCCCCCGCCCCTCACCGTCGTAGTTGACGCTGTCCAGCTGCGCCCGCCGCTCCTCCTCGTCCTTGCCGGGGTCCCCCAGCAGGGCGCGGGCGCAGGCAGGGTGACCCTCGCGGCAGGCCAGGTGCAGCGGGGTGTGCCCGCCGCGCTCCCGCAGCGCCGCGCCCGCGCCCGCCGCCCGCAGCCGCCGCACGGCCCCAGCCAGCCCCAGCACCACGGCGATGTGCAGCGCGCTCTGCGGGGAAAACCGGGCTGAAACCCCCCAAAAATATCCCCCAAACCTGCAAACCGTCCCCCCCAAAAACCTGCAACCCGTCCCCCCAAAAACCTGCAACCCGTCCCCCCAAAAACCTGCAGCCCGTCCCGGGCACGATGCGTGGGATGCTCTGCGGGGTGCTGGGGTCAAGCCCCACCCGAAATTCCCCTCCCACCGTGTCCCCAAACCCCCAGATTTCCCCTCAGCTCCTCGCCCACCCCCACCCACGCTGTGGAGACTTAGGGGATGGTCCCGGGACCCCCAAATTTCCCTCCCTGCCGCACCTGGCCCAGGTCGTTCTGCAGGTCCAGGTAGGGCGAGCGCTCGGTGTGGCGCAGGATGGACTCCAGGAACTCCTCGTGCTCGTGGATCACGGCCAGGTGCAGCGCCCTGCCGGGGGTACGGGCTGGGGGGGCGTCCCGGCAGCCCCGGACCCACCGGGGAGCCCCCGGCACCCCCGGACCCACCGGGACTCCCCCGGCACCCCCGGACCCACCGGGGAGCCCCCGGCACCCCCGGACCCACCGGGGAGCCCCCGGCACCCCCGAACCCACCGGGGAGCCCCAAAAATGCGTTTGTGTGTGTGGGGATGGGGGTCCTGGGCCGTGAGTGGGGGGTACCGAGGGGCGTTACCGGAGGATACCCGGGGGGGGCATTGGTCCCGGGGGGCTCGGAGGTTACCGGGGGACCCCCGGAGGGCTCGGACGTTACCGAGGGGCCCCCGGCGGTGCGGCGGTCCCGGGGCGATCGCACCGGAGCCCCGGGAAGCGGCAGCACCGTGACCCCCCAACCCCAGGGTGTGCGCGGGGGTCCCGCCCGGACCGGCGGGGGGTCCCTCATCCTTCCCCGCCCTCACGTGTCGCCGTCCTCGGTGACGAAGCTCAGGACGTGCCGCAGCCAGGCCGCGGGGTCAGCCAGGGGGTCGGAGGACTCCGCCGCGGGGCTGGCGGGCAGCGGCGGCCCCGGCGGCCCCTCGCCTAGCGAGCCCAGCCCGCTGTCGCACCACTCGTCGCCCTCGGGCCGCTTCGCCTCGCCCGGGGCCGCCGGGGCCGCGGCCGCCATCGCGGGCCGGGGAATCCCCGCCCCGCCGCCTGCCGGGACCCGTAGTCCGCGCCTGCGCTTCCGGGTGTCTCAGCCAATCATCACCCTCTATCTGGTCCCGCTCACTCCCCCTCGCCAATCGGAGCGGCCGGGGGTGCGCGGGGCACGCCGGGAAGTGTAGTTCGGGCAGGCCGCGCCCATGGCGGACCGGGACGGGACCGGCGGCGGCCCGGGGGATGCGGCTGCCTCTCCTCCCACCCCCGCCACTGACCCTCCCACCGTCCCCGCAGCTCCCGCAGCTCCCGCTGCCCGCCAGCAGGCGGCGGAGCCGGACGCCGAATCTCCGGTAACGCCCCCGGTGTCCCGTGGGTCCCCACCCCGGTGACCGCCCCCGACACGCCGGTGTCCCCTCGGTGCTCACCCCGCTGACCCCTCGGTGCCCGCCCCGCTGACCCCTCGGTGTCCCCTCGGTGCCCGCCCCGCTGACCCCTCGGT